AAGCGCGCGGTGATGGCGGCGCTGATTGGCTGCAGGGCGGGGCTGGGCGGGGCGAGCGCGCTGATTGGCTGCGGCTCTGCGAGCGCGGGGCAGGCTGGGATCGGCAGCCTCTGGCGCGCAGATCTGAAGATGGCGGCGGCGGGCGAGTGTAGCAGTTTCGTCAGCAGCTCCGTTATTCTGGCCCCGCCGGCGGCCGCGGAAGCCGTGGCCACGGAATGGGTGCTGGAGTTCGTCTGCTCCTGCCTGTGCCGGCACTTCTCGGAGGAGAGCGGGGCGGACTTCGAGCGGTGGAGCGACGTTGCGCAGGGTGAGGGGCGSTGAGGCCTGAACTTCGGGTGGTGAGGGGCGCTTGGGGTGTTCCGCGGCGCTCGGGGCTCTCCCACAGCCGCTCCCGGGGCAGCGASCCGGCGGGGCCGGAGGGACGGCTGCCTGCCGGCACGCCGAAGGGTGGGAGTGCTAAAGCATTCATGGCTCGCCGACCACTGTGGTCAGCACCGCTCGGGGAAWGATCCTCAGCTGTCTCGGGGGCTTCAGGAGATCCCCGGAATACCCCTGTCGAGGGCTTGAGTGGTATCTGCAGCACTCGCACGTGTGGCTCTACGGCAGAGATGAGCTGACATGAGGTCTGGTGACTGAATTTTGAATGGAAAAACATATTTAAAATGAGAAATAAACYTAAGACTGAGAGTAGTTGACAACTAGAAGTAAATGGCTAAGTCTCAGATAAATTTGATGGATTTATGATGTTTTCTTCTGTAAGAGGTAGTTTTCCTGAGGACACAAGGTTAGAACTTTGGGGGACATTTTGTCTCTGTGTGTATGTTCTTGACTCAAGTGAATGTAGTAGTATTTGTCTAAACTTMTGCAAAGAATGCAATAAAATGGTGTGTTGAATGATTAGTAAGTGGATTGATACGAGCTATGGTAAGAGGTAAGAAAACTAAAGATAATAAAGTACATTGAATGGGGGRGCTGCTAGATTAAATTATTTATGTTGCTTCTCTGTGTTTGGCCTTGGGAATGCAAGTCATCAGGAGAATTGTACTGACGTTTTRTGAAGATGGGAAGCAGAGATACTTCCATCTGCTTCTGCATTGAATAGAACTGGCAAGACAGAACTGTATTCATAGAAACAACTAAATTATACAGAGTGCAAGTTCATATGGAAATGAGAAATAATAGCAAATTTTGAATTTGTTGCTACTCTATTCAACAACAGAGGAAGATAATAAAGTCAGTATTGTTAAAGTCTTTGGGAAAAGCTAAGTATGGTGATAAGAKTGCGTTAGAAAAGTAGGTGTGGGGTTTTTTTCATAGAAATAAAGAACTATTACTCTTGCATGTGTCAGGTGAGACCCTGCTGAAATAATGATTGGCTATCAACAGGGTTGACGCAAACTGAAGCAAGTGCAGAAAGGTAGGAAGGCRGTGGTTCCAGATAACCAGAGGCTCCTTCTAGTCTGTGATTCAACTCCTCCCCAACTAGTCTGTGATTCACTTTTCATTTCGAATGTTTCTGCATTATACTCTGAAGAAGAAATATTATATCCAGCACACTGGCATAAGAAATTCACTGTAAGCCACATGATGGGAATAAAATCCTGATAGCTCCCATTTTAAAATATGTAATAATCCTTGTGACCTTCCAGCCTTGCAAGGAGGATTTCCTGAGTAAATTTACATTTCTGAGTAAGCTTTTCTTGTAGCTTTTAATACTTTAGTTCTATAACAACATGCAAGTGTCACCAGTCTGCTTGTGGCTCATGGTTTGTGGGCATTCCACGGAAGTGTTCTCTGGAGCAGATAACTGTCTTTTGTAGTAAGCTACTTACCAAAACAAAACCTAAATTCATGACTGAGGTCTTTGAACTGGATTAATATAAGCCTGTGATTAATTCTACTGCTTCTCCAGAAAAGGATATCTTCTTCTGGTCAAGCTCTTAAGTATTATTTAAGTTATTTTAGAGTGGAAGAATATTGATTAAATGTGCTTCATTGGTTTCTTAAGTAATTAAAAATTTAGTGGTGAAATCGGATAACACAGTGTCTAGTACATATCTAGCCACACTGTGGCAGTGCTGGAGCAAGACTGACTTAACTTTTCCCTTCTTTTCCAGCTCTTATTAATGGCCTCTCCCAAATACCTCCACATCAGAAAAAAATGGTCTATCTGTGTCAGATTTTGATAAGAATTGCACAAGGAACAAACCTTGGTAAATACTTGGATTCTCTTTTTCACTTGTTTAAATATATTTGCATGAACTTGTACAGAGTTGTTATATTCTTTCACAATTCCTTTACTGTATATATATTTATACATATCTAGAGATATATATAAATAAGTTGAATGAAGTACTTATTTTTATCTTTATTCCACGTGTGACTGAGCTGTTCTGCAGGACTGCTGTTACTCTGTGCTCCAAACTTAGCCGCCTGGAGTTTGAATGACCATATATTTCTTAAATTACCAGTCTTTCTTGTCAGATTAGTATAGTAATATAGTAGACTAGCTTTTAGTCTTACCTGCAGGTTTAAAATAAAGGATGTGTGTTCCTTTCTTCACATGTAATACTAGAGGTTAAAGTAGGACAGACAGCAGGAAYGAGAATATGGGTAAAAAGGCTGACTGCCTATGTTTTCTACAGATGACTATAAGACTTTCAGCTGGCAGCAAGTCCTTGGGGTTCTTATTCACTACCCTATTGTCTGCTTGGCTGCATTTGGAGCTTGTTGGTTTAGTTGAGATGATTTTGTTTGAGTTTCTTGAAGACTTTTTTCACTTTTTGATAAAACTCATTGGAATTTAAAGACTTCAGAAGCAGTCTTGGAAGCATAAGCATGGAAGAAAAAAGTGTGTTCTAGTGCTGCAGTAGCAGATCCGCAAAGTCTTGTTTTTATACAATTAAATTTCCATGTTGCTTGTCAGGTATAAGTAGTCTTGATTTAGTTTAGCTTGAGAATCAAATAGTAATATTTAAAACAGTTCATCATATACAAATTATAATTTTTTTGTGATAATGGTCTAAAATTATAATCTCAACTTCATCGTGTGTTTTTATCTTATCAGTGTAGAGAATGACCTCTGTGGTGAGGGTTGCATGTGTATAGCAGGTACTACATCAGGTGTAGCTGCACAATGTACATGGAAAGCTAATATATGGTAGCTTTCCTATTATTTTCTAGTTATTAAAATATTTGATCTGTGCTGATCACACGGAATAGACTGTTTCAGATGTCAGCTAAGAGCTAAATGCTTTGATTTTACACTATTAAATTTAATATGAAGTGTCATGTTACTTGATTAAGACAATAATTAGAGAAACATGTGGGGTCTTTTTAATTATGTGTATATATGCACATAACACTTAAAAATTTCAGTGTTTGTCTTACTGTAGTAGGTATAAAATAATACTTATTTCTTTGGTATTCTGTAAATTGTTTACCTTCTGCCTGAAAAATACTTAAAGAAATTAGTTATTGAGAGAGATGCTGCTGATGTCATAAAATCAAGGCAGAAGTGAGGCTGTAGTTGARTGAACATCTTGAACTAAGTTGGCAGTGCTATGGCACGAAAGCACTTGTGTACCTGCCAGCTGTTACATTGGCACACTCACTTATCCAGGTGTGCTATGATCAGACTGGGAAACTGTTTGAGTGTGTTGAGGGGATGATTATTTGGCTAGGCTAGATTTCTGCCAGAGCTGAACACTGATCCTGTTTGATGGGAGTTTGCACAAACCTTGGAGTTGGCACAGCACCACTCCGGCATGGGAGGTTGCTTTTGCTTGTTCAGTGCCACTCCTGTTTAGAGCTGTTTGAATTTCCCTCTTGTTTTAAGCACTTCAAATACAACAAAAAGTTAAGACATGCAAATAGTGATAGACTCAGGGAAAAAATCAACTTAGAATGGTGATTATATTATAAAATTAGCAGCATCAATGTCAAATGTTGTGGTATCTGATGCTAAGTGTAATGTATTATTAATGCCAGCCCGAATGCCTAATGCTGAACTTAGCACTATTGCAAGTGGCATTTTAAGTGAATGATAACAACAGTAATGTTGTTAGTAAGGGTAGGAGACCCAGTCTCTGAAAGAAAGGCTTCAGGTTGTTGCTTCAGGTTTCTTAAACACACTCAAAAATTGAGGAAAAAGGAATTGAAATTGTATAGTACTGAGAGAGACCAATCTGATTTTTATTTATGCCCCAACACGTGTTATGTGCGGGGAGCTCTGTCCCTCGGTAGGCTTCGCCTGGCAGCCACTCCCCTGCTGCTCTGCAAGCGCCCTGCCCCCCTTGCTGGTGGGTCAGATGCCCGGATGCCCGGGAAAACAGCGCGCGGAAAAAACGCGCGGGAAATCACGCTCTGGGAGGGCGAGGCATACAAAAGCAGCGAACTGCGACACAACGGCGGCCATTTTCCTTTGGGGTTCTTGGAGGGAGCAGAGGCCCGCCTGGAGGGTCACCTTGGCTGTCTTCCTCCCCCCGCTTTTCCTTTTGTTTACTTTCGTTCCTGCCGTCCCACTTCTTCCCTGTCCGCACCTKTCCTGTCCGTGTGCCCTGTTTCGCCGCTTCCCCGAGGCATCTCGTCAGCGCGACARCCTCGTGTTTGCTGCCTCCCCGAAGGAGCTGCCGCCGCCGCCCGGAGGCGCTGTCGCCTACATTCGCAGCCGTGTGTCCAGCAGTGCCCGCAGCTCCAGCCTGCCCGCAGCCGGTGTTTGCCGACGGCAGAGCCAGGCTGCTCGCCTATCCCACGAATGCCCGTAGCCACGGCAGCGTGTTCTCTGCCGACGGGAGGGACGCGTTTGGAAATGGCGCTCAGCCCGCCTTGGGAGCCGCGCAGGCCCCGCGGTTCACAGCACACACACTCCTTCTGCCCAGCTGAYATCGATGGGGTGCCCGGGGTACAGCTGTAACAATCTGTCTGCTATTCTGTCTCTCTCCTCTTTTCCCTCTCTTTCCCTCTTAGAAAAGTTCCCTTTTCTATTCCCCTTGGTAGGAAGTGGTAGGAGCACTTACCCTTCTTTATCAATAAACAGTTCTCAGATAYAATATTGCCGTGTTTRCGCTTTATTTTTTGTCCAAGAAATCTATTAAAAGAATCCTCCCCAACTCCCTCTTTTCAAGTGGGATGGAACAAGTACATATTACTTTATTTCACATAAGTAATGTAATCTATATAACTGTTAACTTTATCCTTTAATTTTTATAAGTACTTTCTTTTTTTTTCTCTCTAAGGATTACATTTTGAAAATGATCATAGAATTTCACCTTTGGAATCTGCTCTGTCTTTCTGGGCTTTACTTGAAAGAGAAGAAATTAAACTGGAGAAGCTTCATGAAGATATTCATCGCTTGATTCAAATTCAGGTCTGTGTGAGTTATTCATAATGCTTCAGGATGCTATCTACTCATTGGGAATGAGTAGCTGGAAAGCTGCCTGGCAGGAAAGGACCTGGGGGGTGGTGGTTGACAGCAGCTGAACATGAGCCAGTGTGTGCCCAGGTGGCCAAGAAGGCCAACAGCATCCTGTCCTGTATCAGGAACAATGTGGCAGCAGGACCAATCACCAGGGCAGTGATTGTCCCCCTGTACTCAGCACTGATGAGGCCGCACCTCAAATCCTGTGTCCAGTTCTGTGCCACTCAGGGCCAGAATGACGTTTAGGTGCTGGAAGTCTGCCCTTGCAGGGAAGGGCAGCAGAGCTGATGAAAAGTCTAGAGCACAAGCCTTACAAGGAGCAGCTGAAGGAGCTGCGAGTGCTTAGTCTGGAGAAAAGGAGGCTCAGGGGGGACATTATCATTTTCAAACTGCCTGAAAGGAAACTTTAGCCAGGTTGAGTTGGTCTCTTATCCCAGATGACTGGTGATAGGATGAGAGGAAATGGCCTCAAGTTGTCCCAAGGGAGTTAGATYGGGTGTTAGAAAAAACTTAGACAAAGGGTTGCAAAACATTGGAACAGATTGCCCAGGGAAGTGGTGGAGATACTATCACTGGAAGTGTTTGAAGCAACATGTGGATATGGCACTTGAGGACATGGTTTAATGGTGAACATGGTGGTGGGTGCTAGGTTAATGGTTGATTTGATGACCTTAAAAGTCTTTTCCAGCCTTAAAGATTCTGTGATTCTATCCTAAAACAGAGCCTCTTTTACAAAAAGCTTGGACTATTAGCAGATTGAGCTGCATTTTCAGTTTTAATGCAGAGTAAATAGATCTGTACAGGGGGCCTTTTTCTGTCTCATGTGGTTCCAGCTTGTACAAGTACAAATTTGTTTCAAAAGCTGCCAATCTGAAAAAATGAAATAAATTTAAAAACTAATTTCAGAAGTAGGTAAGTGTTGATGACCCTTAAATATGTAATCATCTGAATTTTGGGAGTCTTAGAAAACTGAAGAATTGTGACTTGTTTTTTTCTGAATCTCAGGTGGAAAGTATTTCAGCATATCTTGTAATTATATTTCTTGTAGTGTGTGGCAGTCTATATGGAAAGCAGATACTTCAAGGAAGCTGCTGAAGCTCTTGAAAGGCTGTTTACAGACTCTGAATCAGATAAGGTAGTAATTTAATTAACTTGTATTAAAAGCTTTTGATTTTCAGAGGAGGAAGAGGGGAGTGGGTTTCCAAAGTTAACAAGCCCTACCTACATAGCTTTGATCTCATTATTGTCTATGTCACTTTCACACCTGTGGCACTTTAAAATACAAAAGGAAATTTGTGGCTGGGAGATGGATAGAAATRCTGGGTAAATTGTGGGAGTAAAATGCTTCTAGCAGCAGTTGTTATTCATCCCCTCTACCATTTCATATGAGGAGTGAGATGGCACTACAAATTCTGAGAAGTTTAGTGTTGTTCTTTCACAGAAAAGATAATGTAAGCATACTAACACTGTAATTCCTAACAGTCAGTTTGCTGATTTCTATTAGAGTGCACTCTGTTCCTCTGATGATTAGCGTTCTGTGTACCAAAGCATTCCAGGGAAGGAAAACTCAGTAGTTTCTCTAGTACAGACTGAATATTGTTTTGTCTCTGCCTGGAAAAGGCAGAGTGAGTGAGTTAAGTCACCTCCTGATTTGAAGTTGACTTCATCATTCAGAAAGCTGAAAGTCTGAGTAAACATCTTTTTAATATAATAGTCTATGCACACACCTGAGTTTGCTGGGGGGGAGAAAAGACCAAAAGAAGGACTTCAGGCAAAAAGAAAATAAGTTAAAAATGCTGCCTGTGTCTTGAAATGGTATATTAAGACACATGTTCTATGTAAGTAGTAGACCATGTATAACTTACTCTTCAAATATACTTTCATTCAGAGCATTTGGATGTTTGGAAAGTGTAGACTGTGACAACAATACTCAAATTCATAAATAAAAATGCAGCCTATGCAAAGAAGCTAATTCTCCTGGCTATATTGGCTTCTAAAAAACTCAGTGGTTAGTAAACAAAATGTGAATTTCTGATTATCTGTGTTGGTGTATCCTTAGTGCTGCTGTACTAAGTACTCTTTTTCCTGAACACTGAACACCACTTTCAGTGACAGTCTTTTTGAGGCAGCTAATGAGAAGAGAGAACTGAGTAATGAGTGGCTGTTCCTGAGTGTTTTTTTTCCTCACTTGACAGCCCTGCTTTCAGTGTTAGTCATAAAGGAAATGAAAATATGGATCTGTGGTCAGTTACACCTTACCATTTACTGAGCACATGAGGTAAATGCCTGGTATTATGTCTAGTTGACTTGAAAACTCTTTCAAACTGCAGCATGAAGTTGTATAAGGATATTCAGGAGGCTATATTGTCATGTTTAGCTTTCTGTATTTCCTGTTTAGCATAGATATAATGTTTACTGCAGGATTTGTGTTGTAAAAAGCTGTGCTTTTCTTAGCCTTTAAGGGTGAAGCTGGCAACCATTATAAAATCCAAGGATCCATATGTTCCTTTTCTCCAAAGCTTCAGTTACAGTCTTTTGATAAGTAAAATCAAGACTTACATTGAMCTTTTCGTGAAAAGAAATGGAATTAACTTCTTAATACAGGTATGTGGAAAGTATTTTCAAAACTTTTAAAAAGAGTTACCTGATAAAATTAAATAGATYTATCCTTTCAAGGGAGTTGTTTAGGCAATATCCAGTTATTAGATAAAAAGGAAACTTTACCTTCCTTTGGATTGTCTTATATTCAACCTTTTATTCTAATTAATATGTCTTGGAGAAGACTCCTAAAATACCTTCTATGATAAAAGTAGGAACAAGACTCCTAGTAGGAAAAAGACTCCTAAAATATCTGCTGTGTTTTTCCTACAACTGTTTTGATTAGAAAAATAGTTAGGAAAATAGCATAACTAAAACAAATTTCTGTTTAAGAGAAGCAATTCTGATATGGGACTCATTAAAACATGTAGCTGTATATTTAATGCTTATTTTAGCCTATATGACTTCTCATRCTAAAAATAAAAAGTCAAGACCTGTTAATTTGGCTAAAAGCTTTTGGAATGTCAGAGGAGTTAGGAGATAGARAACTATTATTGCTGTTTTCCTGTAAATACAAATGTTCTTACAAATAGTCTTGCTCAAAACTGGTTTAAAATTGGCAAGAACAACATTCCTTCTGCAGTTCATCTTCAGGAGGATTGTAAAGAATTTCTCTTATGTTTACTTCACATAAAAGAATATTGAATTATTCAATTACAAAAGCACAGACGTCTAAAGGTAATAAGAAGCAAATTTTAAATAAACAATCCTGAAGTTCCTCTGTGTTTTTCATTTTCTTACCCGAAAGACTAGACAACTTATTAAATACATTCAAAATATAATAAAGGAATACCTTTTAATGGTTTCACTTCACTGTCAGTTTTCAGGTTTATTGTTCAAGTCTGTTTCTTTGAGACTGAGAGGAGGTGGAGGCCTGGAGGTGTCGGARAAGGCCCAGAACTCCATGCTGGCATGCCTAGGCCTTCTGTTGTTGTACCCCCACTGCCTGCACATCTGTTTTACTGCCTGCACCCACATTGCAAATCTTACTTTGAACACTTACTCTGGCACATGGAGGAGACAGCTTTGGGAAGAATTCCTGCTTCTGTATAGCACACAGTGGTTCTTCAGCAGTTTACCCTGCATTCTCTACAGAAGAACACTCTGGCTTTAACTGTTAATCTCTCTTTTTTATCTAGTGCCAGATGTAGAAGTATAATCATAGAATAGTTTGGATTGGAAGGAACCTTTAAAGGTAGTCCAGTCCAACACCCTTGCAATAAGAAGGGACATCTTCAATTAGATAAGTTTGCTATCCATTCAACCTGACCTTGAAGGTTTTCAGGGGTTGGGCATCAACCACCTTGCTGGTCTACCTTCATGTTTTGCTACATTCATCATAAAAAAAAACAATTCTTCTTTWTATCCAGACTAACTTTAGTTTAGTTTGAGTTTAAAACCRTTAAGCCCTGTCCTATCRCTACAGGCCCTGCTAAGAAGTTTGTCCCAACTTTATTTAGTGTAGTGGACACCTTTGAGATACTCCATGAAGGACAATGAACTACTACATCCTTGTCTTGGCAATGAAGGGGAAATAATCTTTGTGGCTAAAAGTTTGAGCAGAATGTTGGAAATATTTTTTGCCAGTGCAGAAAAGGTTATATTGCAAACCCAAGATYTGATTAGACATCTTTTGAAAGTGTTAAATGTATGCTATATCCTGCCACGTGCTACAGAACTAGATAAACTTGAGACTTAGCAGTTTTTAGTTTCTAACCTAGTTATARAAAACAGATTTTGGAGTACTTTGGTAGTATTTGCAGTCTTAGTTAAGCTCTGCAGTGTACTTCACACATTTATATGTTTACTCATTATGCGAGTATGGATTGTTATTTCTTTGTGTCCATATAAMTATCAGTCACAGCTATGACTAAAATTTCTCCAAGTTATTAGTTGATAAAGGTCTTYATGGATTTCAACTTAACATGCTAGAGTTGTTCTGAAACTACTTATTTTAATGTTAGTATGTCTGTGAAATAAGCACTTTTAGTCCTAACAGAAAGTATACGTGCTAATTTTACATTTTAGCATATCAATTCCATTTCACACAGGAAGCCGCAAAGCAGGTGGARTCTAAAGGATTGGGAGCAGTAGCAATGCCTAACAAATTTGTGGAAGTCAATGAAAATAACGAAAGTGATTCGGAAACAGAACAAGGGTTTGTATTAAGTATTAYACTGCTAAGGGATGTTGTACTGCTTGGACAGTAACATGAAACTTGTAGAATAAATAGTAGGTACAAAGAGGGATGTTACATTCCAAATGCTGTCCAGTAGAAAATTAGCTACAAGCACATTCCCTATTTTTTTAAAAATTTGTGCTCTTTTGTGGTTGTTACTTTTGGCATTTACATCAAATAGCTTGTCATTAAGTTTAATTATTTGTGAGGCTGCACAATTTTCAGCTGTCAGTCTATAATAATAAAAGCATAGAAAAGACTTTGCTTTTTTAATGCTTGACTGAGCTCCTTTTAGTTCTAATTYCAGGCTATAGATCATCTCAAGAAGAAAAAGAATAAGGAAATGGAGGTAGTCCGTTACATTTTCCTAACAGCTGACCTCTTAATGATACTAGTGTGAAGGGAAATAGTTACATTGCTTCATGATTCTGACAGTGGAAACCTTCAGAATAATCACATGGATATTCTGGAAAATGCTAATATTCTAGGTTTATCACCACTTGTTTTTCAGGGAGAATAAGTTGCAGTSTTTAGCTGCAGTCTTTAGCTGGGATAGTTCTCTTCATTTTTGTACTAGGTATTTCTTCATTTTTATACTAGGAATATGACATCAGTTAAGGAAATTGATGCAGACAGTATGGAGGGAGACAARTTGTTTGGYTGKTTTTTTGTTGGGTTTGGTTTTTTTTCTCTTGCAAGGGCAGCTCCTGACACAATTACATCTGAGAGATATAATGAAAGACTTGTTCAATAAAACGTATGGAAATAATTCCTAATRAAAAAAGAGATGTGCAGAAAGTATTGTATCTTCTACTTAAATGTGTAGTGTGTTGGAAGCAGRCTACCAAAGGAAAAGGTCACAGCACCAAACCTGACACAGTTCAAGAAGCATTTGCRCAATGGTCTCAGGCACATGGTGTTACTCTTGGGGATGTCTGTGCAGGGCTAAAAGCTGAACTTGATGATCCTTGTGGATCCCTTCCAGCTTAGCAGATTGTGTGATTCTGAATTTCTCTCCCCAGGAGGCAAGGTTGAGAAGGGTGAAYGCATTGATGCAGTTAGTGATTGTATGCCTCTGCTTCTGTAGAGAAGTCTTAGAATTTTCTTTCTTGTAAATATTGTTGAATCATATAAATGGCAAGTTGCTGCCTAGAAAATAATTTGTCTCTCTTTTTAAGATCGGTGAGAGAGGAGCAGTGTATCACAAGTCAGTCATCTGGAGATGTTGAAAACCCCACAGGAAGGTAAAAAACTTTGTTGTTGTTCTTGGTCTTAAACTTTTCATTAAGTGCTTTGTATTTTTACYTCAGATCTGTGTTTTTGCAGGAGTCATTCAGGACAGAGACGCAATGAGAGCAGAGCTCTTCAGAGTGAGTATTAGTTTATTTTTACACTTACAAAACACTCATTTCAAACACTTACTAAACTGCTATCCAGTGTAATTGGATTAATGCAGAAATGGTTGTGGTGGAAAGAGAYAATCCAAGTTGTGTATAGTTTCTGCATAAATGGAGGTTTGGTGGTTGTCATATTCAGGAAGCTGTGAAGTGGCTTAAGGTTCTCTAGCAAYTAATTTTGAAAAATCATTCACTATTTTCTGGTTTCCTTGTTGGTTTATGGGACTTCTGGCATTCTGTGCAATACAGAGCGTATAGAGGAGTACTGAAATTGTTTCTTTTTGAATTCTGTGCTAGATAACTTGATTGGGAGGGAGCTMAAGAGGTTAGCTGATTGGAGAAACAAAGTGTAAAGTGCACAAAATTAAGATGTTTGTGCACTTTCTGGTATTACTTCTTACAAACTTAACATGAATAATATGATACTTTAAAGTAAGTTCTTAAGACCATTAGCACCTTCTTACCACAGAGAGATGATGATGTAGTTCTTGCATGTGGCCATGTTGTAGATTGGAAGACCAAACTCTTGGGATATCTTGAATGCTTGCCACAGTTAAAATCTGAACGTGTACTTGGAAATGATGGAATTTATATRCAAAGAATCATAGCTGTGATTGCTTGTTACTTGCCATTCTCACTATGTAAAATGAGAGTAGTGCACAGAGTAAAAATGTTTTCACCACAATGAAATGTTTTATTATTATGTACCAATTTTTATGTAAGTGTTTAAAATAAAAWTCTTCTGTGAGCTCTGTTGGATAGAAAATATGGTGGGTTTTTTTGAATAGCCTATTTTTTGAAGCTTTTGGACTATGGCAAGATTCACGTGCAATCATATATAAAAGTATATTTATATGTAAACAGACACTGAAATTTTTGCAATCTGTCAAAGCATGTCAAAATAGTGTACATTCTTGTCATGTGTAAATGGTAGAATGCAAAACTGYTCCCTTGATGTTGACTCCTCATTGTTCTGGATGTATATTGAACTTTCTTCTAGGTCTTAATGTGCAGAATATGGCGGAAAATGAAGGTCCTTTGGCTAATGGCCGAAGAAGACAGGTTTGTACCTATTSTCTCTTCTAAATGGAGATAAAAATAATCTGCACTGCACAGGATATTTTTCTAAGCTTCATTTAATCTCAATTTTAAATCTATAATCTAAARTTCTTACAATCCTTTTCTTCTTAAAGACAGGAAGTAAAATGTATTTTTATGGTCTGAATATTGCTGCTAATACTTCCAATCCTTTTATTTGATGAAATATACTGTTACCAAAGCTTAGTTTGAACTCTTTACACTGTTTGGAGTAAAGAATTCGGGATGTCATTTGCCTGTGAGAATTTTTAGCAAATATCAGACGCAACTTGTTTTCCATCTTAGAAAGTTCAAGTTTTAACAATTTTATTATTCAGTACTCTATGTGCTGTAAAAACATACTTACTTGGGAAGCTACTCTTGTTTTTATAAACCARATAGTAGGATCTTCTTATAATGCCAAATCTCAATGGTCCCTTCATGGATAAGCCTACTTYATTGAATTACTTTAAGATAATCCTCCTGTCTTCACTAATGCTCGMATTCCATATAGTAAGAAGTACAGAAGTTTATGCCTTAATCGAATGCAATTTGAAGTTGATTTTATGTTGGGATGAACTCTTTCAAGCTAATTTTTGTTTATAGCAAATTTTCCTTSGTAAGTGTTCAGCATTTTGTCATGATAATTAAAGAAATTAATATTAAATAGATGTACTGCCATTGTTGGATCCTCTTCATAATATTTCTTAGGAAGCAATGTGAGTCTTTCTGTTTAGATAACAGCTCAAGTTATCATCACACATCCATTCTTATGTGAGCCGTTTCATTTTACTGGTGTTCATTTTGATGTTTCATTTTTGGTATAACAGGGAAGACAAAATCTGCTGCTGGTTTTTTTTTTCCAGATTGTTCTTGAGGATAGTTGTACTTATTCCTAATTCTTTAAACATTTTTACTGAAATTGAAGTACTGGTTAAACATGCTGTCCTCAAATTTGTTGAGGTTCCAATGACACCTCATCTGTCCTCGAGGTTTAAGCCCCTATAAACTTTCTCACAAATCTCAGGAATAGTTACATCACTGACAGCCTCTTTAAAAGCAGCAGACACAACCAATGCCCCCCCAGAAAAGGGGGGGAAAAAAGCAGCACTTACTGGATTTGCTTTTTSCCTTTGAAAACACAATTACTTTATTCCAGTATATACGTAGATAGGTACCTTGTTAGCCAGTTGCCAGTAAGCATGARCAGTTCCATCAAGCTTGTTCTCAACATCAAGATTTAAACTATTTGGACCACATTTGACACAGAGCTAATGAGAGCTTTGTATTCACATATTTTTATGAGTTAGTCTGTTGTGGGGTCACCTACAAGCACTGAGTCTAGGTCTAGGGCTTACACACATATCTTGTTAGAAAGAAATAGATGTTTGCTTAATTGTGGTGTTAGAGTTAAACCTTAATTGAAATATAAAGACTAAATTTGTAGACAGCTGCATCTGACAGTGGCATTGAAAATTTTAAAAGAACTTGAGTGAAACTTGAGATTCAGAACTGTGTTTCTTTCAACACTTAGAAAAGTTGTAGGCATTTGCTGCCACTGTGATATTTATGCCATACTCCCTGCCACTGAAAGCTCTCATAAATGTTTTACAGAAAGCAATGATAATTGGCCTTTTGAACAATAAATCTGCTCCTCTGCCTAATCATCTGGGTTATAAAATTGTCCACATGCATGAAAGAATGCAATGAATGTCAGAGCTGTTGACTTCTAGAACTTCCTTTTCCATGTAGTCCCTCATTCAATGTTGGCATTGTTTGCTCTTGTTTTGTAAATGGCATTTCATTGCAATGGTTCAGTGCCCATTTTCAGCCTTTCATTGCAGTGTTTTCAGTTAGCTGCATGGAACAATTTGCAGTGCTATTGAAAGGAAGCGTACTTTATTTTCTCATTCCTAAATTAGGGGATGCAAGTGTCACAGAATTAAGGGAACTGTTTGTACTCAGTTTTAAATCCAGTAAGTATATGGCAAGTCCTTTGAGTTGTCTTAAGATCTGGATGGCAATTTATTTAAATTAAACAAAGTGTCTGAAAATCTGGATGCTAAGAATTAAGTCAGACTTGTGTGGGAAAAAAATCCATATATTTAAAGCTGAAGGAGAAAACTCAGAGCAGAGTCATAATGCATAAAGGAAGACAGATTACTAGAGCAGAACTGACTCTAAGGAATAACAAGATATTTAGATATGTAATAGAATGTCTCCACATTCTGCCTGGCAAACCCAAGCTTGCTCTGCTGCTGTTCTGAACTGGCCAGATGTCACGTTGCTGTGGACCCAGCATTGTGCTGTTGTGAGCTCAAGCGTAGTGCTGCATTATGTCCAGGCTTTCAACCAGTCCTGTAACAGTGCAAAGCTGGAATCTACATAAATTCTGTCTGAGAGGAGACAGACAGCTTGCCAGTCAGTGGGGCAGGGGGCAAGTTACTGCTGTGTGCAGTTCCTCAGTGAAAACAAAATGAGTCAGTCCCTGATTTACCTGCAAAGCAGGCCCCTCATTTATACAATAAACCAAAGAAATTATTTTTAAAAAAAAAGCTCAGTATAAACAATTAAAATCAAAACCAGCTAAAAACAACCCTTTTAACAGCAAATATAATTAATCAGTGCAAGTAACAAGGGTTGTGATTGTCTCTTTCGATGGAAGTGTTTGAATTATCTRGTGCTGTAGGTCAAGCATAACTGTATTGCTTGAATAAAGATTTTATTTAGGAAAGTTTTCTGGCATGCTCTGAAATGAGATGAACTACATGATTACAGTAGAATCTCTGGCCTTTTAATAATAGTAAAAAAAAAAAAAAAACTATTCACAGCTAATGTTGCAAAAGACCTGTGGAATTGGAAGAATTGGAAAAAGGAAGTATTTTTGATAAAGGGTATACTACTTTCGAGAAGTTTTATGTTCCTAACTGTTTAGAAATACAGTTGAACTACTATTACTTGTAATTCTTCACTGCTTAGTAAGGTTTGTCAGTGATTATAGTTTACTGAAGAGGCACTGATACTTGCATTAAGCTGGAATAAGTCCAGCTTTGAACTGTGAAGTTTGGTCTTTACACACCTCAGCTTGCACTTTGCACAGATGCCCCATTTTCCCTTTGTGGAGAATCACCATTACACAGTTTTGATCTGATACAATTTTTGAGTGAGGCTGAATGTTATCTAAGCTCCTTGCACCTCAGAGACATCCCCTTGTCTTTCATGTCTTGAGTGCTGCTACAACTTTTAGAAGCTTAAATTCAATGGAAGGGTGGAACCATGCAGAATAGCAATCAAAATTGTTACCTGGCCCATTCCCAGAGACTGAATTGATGTTGCTTACAAGAGCAGAATCTTTTAAAGATCCCAGAAGGATTCCATGTCATTAAAAGATGAATTTATTATTCCTATCTCCACCGATGTGGGATTTAACACATGGATTTCTTGTGCCACTGACAGTCATACTGGCTGGGTGCTGCTGCTCATTTTCCCTTGTGCACAAGCAGGATGGTATGCCTTTGTGTAATAAGAGCAGCCATAAGATTTTAATTTCCATTAGGTACATTATTTCCTCAGTTAAGTGATATTTGTCCCCCTGTAATTCACGTTTCCTTGCACTTATCAGGTCTGATAGTTGGCTTTAAGTTGAGGCTATTTCTTTGCACCTGCATTTCCTTTTCTGCCCAGTTCATCACAATTTTGRAGGTTTCAGTTGTAAGGGTGAGCCATAACATGATTCTTATGTTCCCTTCTGCTTTATAGCAAACACAATTTATCTGTTTGATGGCTGGAAGTGATCTGTTACTTATAAGAGGAGGTTTTATACATACTCTGGTAAACCAACCTTTCTTGTATTCCRCCAAACTATAAATTTTAGGCCTCCAGATTCAACCATTTACAATTCTTWTGGCTCTTGTATTGTTCTATAAACGTTTTTTACTTCCAGTCCTGTTACTCCAAGTAACCCATGGCTTTATTAGCACAGGTCCCCTTTGGGAGCCCCCATAAGGATCTACAGSTTCAATTACAAATTTTTCATTTCTCTAGTTTCAAGATACGGTGCTCAAAAAAAACCCCTCTGTACTCTAATGATTAAGAGAGCTGTATGAAAACTTGTTTTTATATCTGCTATAAGATTAGCTCTTACATTAATACCTTTCTCTGTTCATATATCCAATATTTTTTTCTGTTCTTGCCCTAGCGATGGACTGACGCAGAAGACATGGAGCTGAGATTAGGAGTAAGGGAGTTTGGAGTGGGTAACTGGGCTAAAATTTTGGTCCATGGTAACTTCAACAACCGAACAAGTGTCATGTTGAAAGATCGGTGGAGAACATTGAGCAAGATTGAACAAGGCTGATCTGGACTGTAGGAATCAACTCTTGACCTTTCCCTACATAAGGAAAGGTACCCTAGCTTTTCAGAATAACATTTTACTTTAGTTTCAGTGTTCAGCAGTGTTGCTGTCCTAAAATGTTGATGTAAGTTCACTTACTTAGGTAATGATGACTTAAATGTAAAGTCTGACCTTTTAGTTTTGTGCAGTAACAGATTACCTAGGTTCTGACATGTGAAAATGGTTGCAGTGATTCAAGGTCTATTACGTAAATAGGGGTATTAGACCTGACTGGCAACATCTTTAGCTTGATAAAGGCTGATACAAAGTTAAGTGTTCTGTATTTTTAAAGGTCTATATCTCCTGTCAAACTGACCTTTTATCATTTAACATCCTGCCATATAATCCATTCTAATTTGTTTTGGTTCACTTTGAAATTTTGGTCAGACTTGTCATCTTTGTAAGTTGTATAAAAAGTATGCATATATTAGTGTTGCTAATTTTCTGAGTTGATGGTTTGTTGTGGTTTTTTCCTGCAGTTAAAAAATGTATAAATTCATATAATTTTGTATTTGCAAGTAAAAAGGCACAGGGGATGGGTACTCTCCACTGTCCCTGTCAGCAGTGGCAACAAGCAAAGATAAATTTTGACAGGGATCACTATCAAAGTATCTGCTGGCCCCTGCAAATGTCCTGCTCAAGAGAGACTGAAACAAATGGAAGATGACACTAGCTTGTCTCTCTTGATTCAGATCATTKGGAAGAGAATTCCACAATCTCAGAAAACTTAGGCTTTCCACTGTCATACTGCTGTGAACCTCGTGACTTGAACGAATACAACAGTCTTTTAAAAGTGAAATCACTTCCATTCAAATGTTTTCTGTATTTTCCTCCTTGGCTAACGTTTTCATTTTCCAAGAGCTTTCAAGAAAAAGCACCTGTCCGAATTGGTCATAATAAAACAAAGCTCTCCAAGATAATTTTCCCCTTTACAAAGGAAAGCATATATTCTTGAAGGCAGAAATGTTTAGGAAGTATTAAGATCATCTCTGTGCATTCTGTTTAGGAGGCGTGCTTTCATTAAGATTAAATGGTAAAATACAGTTCAAAGGTTTGTTTCATAACAYACTCTTACTGTGGACAGGACCTCAACTAGATCACCTTCCTCATTCTTGCCAAGAGGTGCTATGGTGTCTTCTTGCAGCTGCCAGAAACGGTGGCAAGCTGGAGTCTTTATGTTCCATGGAGATGTTGCATGTTGTGACAGGAAATTTTCTCAACCTTAAGGCATCATTTCTCTTTTAGCAAATATTGTGAATTTCAGGATCTCAATAATATTCAAGCTTTGWCATTCAGCAATAAATGCTAGAGCACCTCTGAGGTACCAATTCAGACATTCATAGCAGGTACCTGACAAGTGCAAAAGTGCAGGATGGAGCCTCTTAAGTGCTGTAACAGTAATTCAAGGTCATAATAGGTAATGAGCCAAGGGCAGTCCTGCCAGGGCTCAGATGTTGAGGTTTCTGTGTTAATTGTTGCAGATGAGCATTTTTAACTAGGAATAAGTGKTTTTTTCACTCGTAGCCAAGGCCTTAGTCACAAAGTCTTGTTTAGGTTCATCTGCCAGAAAAGCTACACTGTGTATTAGTGATAAGAAGTTTGGAGGAGACTAAATCCTTAACAATGCTGGCTAGGTATGTCTTCATGAAGGTGGCTGAACAGGAAAACTGCAATGTAGAGGAAGAATACTTAGGCACTTTTTAGTGAAAAAAATTCTCTAGATGATACCGGGGAGGAACAGAGGACCTAAACTGAAATTGGCTTTAGTTCTCAAAAATTTCATTTTTATTCACCTTTGCTATTAAATGTTGACAGTTAAACTGTTCTCAGACTTTAGAATGTTTGTCTGGCTCACTACTGAGTAAGGAGTGGTGCCTGTRTACAGGCCTGTGGCCAGTAAAGATTGACAACTTCAGGAAAAGCAACTACTATGGTTAGAAACATTAGCTCTTTATTACAAAAGAGAAACCTGCAAATATGTTTCCATRTTTCTACTGTTCTAATACAGAGATTAGTCTTAGCATTTTGTATTAAGGCAGAGAGAGTTTCCTGAAATGTTTCTGCCAAGTTTCTGGCTCATTTAAGATTTGTTAATGTTCCAGAAAATGCAGCAGAAATAYGTAGGTTTCTTGATGTTGGTGTTAATTTTCTTGTTCTTGTTGTTGCCCTTTTAAAGGTCTTTAAACTTTCATGTAAAAATAAAACTATGCACCAGGGGACAGGAACAGTGTTCCAGTTGCCGGATCTTCTTCCAGGTTCCTTGGCATTGAGCATTGCCAATTGCTTCCCAGTGTAAGATTTTATCTCTGAAATGGGACAATAAATGAGAAATTAGAAGAGTAAAAGTTGTGTACACTTTGCTGCACACTAGATTGTGTTATATAAAATSTCAGAAGTTTGGATTTGTTTACTCATGAAACTTAAAGTCATCTAGCTCTTAAAACACTTTCTGGAGCAGATACATTCCTAAGTGTAGTATCCAGGATGGTGGATTGAGTAGCTGGTTATACTTAAGTATGTATGTTAATAAATGTRTGGTTCAAATAAAAATCAGTTCTGAATAATAAATGTCTACTTTCRCAATTATTTTTCTAGAAACCAGGTTTTATAGGTTTGAGGGGAATACAAATCTACCACTGTTAAAMCTGCAATCAGATTTGGAAAATGGCAGGAAATACATTTTTAAGTAAAAGTGTCTGTAGCTGTAAAAAGTCCTCTTCCACTACAGAAGTTCCTTCATTCCTTCACAATAGTGAAAAAGCGTGTACAGCATTGAACTCTTATTGAGATTACTTCCTGATTTTATCTAGGTTTTAAAAGCTCTTCCTGTGAAAACTGAAAGGGTAGTACCTCAGCTCTATAAATGGTATGAGGTATTCCACTTTTTTTAGGTATAATAAATGCAGCTTCTAATTGAGTTCTTGAGAAGTTTTAACTCCTGTATTGGTTTGGGTTTTGCTTCAGAAGAGGCAGCTGAAAATGGYTCTTTACCCATCTGCATTGTGGCCATCCCCAGAGCAGCGCTGCGTGTCCGTGTTCATAGCTGGGGGCTGGCAGGCCACGCACACGGTGTGTCCCTCRCGCAGGTACTGCATCCAGCGGGCGTATGGACGCGTCTCCAGAGCACAGTGGTGTGAAAGAGATTCTGTCCTGAACTCCACACAGTATCTGCTCAGAAGGAAAAGCACCAAATTCTGATAGATAAAGCATGAGCTAAGTAGACACTTTGTACCTAAAACATAAGGGTTGTGTTAGTGAGGTGCAAGTAGACATTGTCATTGCTAACAAGTCTCTGGCCCTAGCCTAATCAGTGGATTCTTAAAAACATTATGTAAACTCTTTCTCATTCTGTGCCCTGGTCCAGCACTTTATATATAGTCTCACTTTCTGCAAGTACTCTATATTCTTGAACTCTTTTGAAAAACAGACCTAGTAATCCATATTTTTTCTTCTGTGCTGCTGAAAGAGGAATGGAAAAGAGACTAAGAATATTGATGGGCTTTATTCTAGGGAAAATAGCATGAGACAAAGCATTATGAGCATTACAGACCTAGTAATAGCCTAATTTAAACTTCATCTCTACTGGTAACCAAACAATTTTTTACTGCTGTGTCAATTAGGTTTTAAAAAAGTTCTCTTGAGACCAGTCACATTTAGCCCACTTTGTTTGGAGACCTACATCTAATTTCTCAGACGTACACTTAGGACACATTCAGCTTTGTTGTAGCATTGTTTACTGCTGGCTTTCAAAAGCATCTATCATCAGATTTGTCATGATCCCAATGTCTAATTCAGGACAATTAGTAAGTAATAAAAAACATCTAAAACATGCAAATAAACTGCAGGCGAGAAAACCAGTGCAAGCTATAGCTTATTGCTTAATTATTGCAAATTTAATTACATTTTTCTCTGTAGCCAGCTGTTTTCTATTGAACAAGATGACCCACATGCATATGAATAGATTACCCTGCTGSTTCTTTGTCTGAAGGCCAGGAAGAAGATGCTGCTCGTCTTTTTCTTTCTTTRCCATATTCAGAGGTAGTTATGAAAGCAGGGACTGAGGAAGAAAGCAGTTACGGTAAAACAGCAAGGCACAGCTGAGTCACATTTGAATTACTGTAACTGGGTGAATGAATCAGGAGCTTGTGGATAGTGATGCTGGCTCACTATTGAAAAAGTGGTAAAATGTTGGCAACACTGGACCTTAACCCCATTCCCTAGAGCTAAGCTCTCYTTATTCAGAAGAAAAATATCTGAAAATGCATGCCATCTAGTCTGAGGAAATAGGGTGTGCTGGAATCCCACAAGGACTACTGCTTCCTGTTTCATACTGAATTAGTGTTCTAACTTTGCAGAGAGATAATTGGATATTATATCCAGAAACTGAAGGAATGCATGCAGCTTAGTTGTTTGCTTAATAGAAATTAAGAAAAACTAGAGTAGGAAAACAAATTATTGAATAAAAAGCAATATGATAATGATACCRGAATGATTTTTGCTTTTTTACTTTTATATATTTGTAACCTTCCCAGTACTTTTCCCTACCCTTTTCCSSTACCCTAACTTGGTTCTTCCTGGGAAGGTCTTCGAGACACATTTTCATAAACAAGTTCAACTAGTACCAAAGGTGGAGGCCTCCAGAGAAGGGGATTGACCTGTAAGGAATTACATCATCACTTATCCTCCTAATTAGTGCTTTTTATCAATTATGCTAATTTCCTAAAATGTATAAAACTCTATTCACCCCTGTGGGAGTGAACTTCTGTAGATATTCTTCCATGACTGCCTCTGGAGCTCCAACAAAGACCCACTTCTATATTACTTCCTATACTAAAATCATCTCAAATTTCATTTCTAAGCTGGGAAAGGCAACAACAGTGGAAAGTAAAGTTTTAAATTATATTTTTAACCAGCTAACTGTAGATTGGTTGGCTTGGTTTTGGATTTTTTTTTGCTGTTCATTGACATCAGTAAAATTCATGATGTTGGTGATGGACACAATATACAGAGAGATCAAAGAAAAAATACCATGTTCATGGCCGCAGTCCTCCCCCTGGTAAGTCAGGTATTCCAGGCAGCCAGCCTTCTCCTCCAGAGCTGGACACGGTTCCCCACCATTTTGGGGTTCCTGTTGTACGTAGCGCCTACGTATCCGCAGCCCGGGATGACATTGCTCTGCACAGCCACTCCAATGACTCCACTCCCCCACAACACAGGGAATAGCTGCAAAGTGGTATTAAAACACTATTAGTAGTCAGGACTTCTGCTTTATCCTAATTGCTCTCAAAAGCTTGAGATAATAAGATTATATTGAGGGGTTTTGTTGTTTGGTTTGGTTTTTGGGTTGTTTGTTTTTTTTTTTGTTTGTTTTTTTTAAATTTCCCCTTTCTGATATTATTTATATGGATTTAAATGCTCTTCCAGGGGTTTGCATACTCAAATTGAAAATCCAAGCCTTCCTGCAATGGTTGGCTCCCTGTTCTGTACCTTGTCCGCATAGAAACATTCCCTCATGGAAACCTTTCACCACAGCTGTGTGGTTCTTCTGTACCCTCTTCTGAAGAATAAAGCATTAGCCTCAAAGGAGACCAGCTCATTAATTATCTACACCAGACTGATCTGACCTTCCTTGGCCGTTCCTACACCACGATTTTGTTTAAAGGCTGGAACATTAAGTAATAGCACACTTGATTCCCCTCTGATCRGTTTCTAACTCCTTTTTTCTCAATACTGAAATGTATGCATTGCCACAGCTTTGTTTCCCTGTTTTAACACAGGCCCTGCTCATTCCCAAATATAGAACAGTCCATTGGATATTTGACTTGCAGYTGTCATGGATCACAAACTTCATCTGAACATAATCAAAAATTATGGGGAAAGAACAATTATTTTTAAAGTAAGCATTGAATCATAAAAAACTGCATTTCCCTCAGGCAGAGGAAGAAAAAGTTTTGCAGCATCATTCCCAGACAAAATCAGGTGATAGATACATTATTCCTGGGTAAGAAAYTACATAACCCAGAAGTCTTCACTTTATTCGTCCATTAAAACAATATGCAACTGTATAAAACACACATTTCACRTCTCCATGAAACTGCTTTCCTCAACACCAACTCCAAGTCCCAGGTTTTGAAAACTCTATGGCCTAACAATTTCCCCTTTAGCAGTTAGAATGAATACTACAACTTTTCAAAACTGTACTGCATGCTGAGCCCCTAGGAGCTGGAGGAGGATGATCTCTGGGTGAACAAACACAACCCCTCCACCTGGGAATTTCAAATCTACACAACCTCAGCAGGCAGAGCAGTGAAAGAGCAGATAAGAAAAATGTCTCACACACAGGCATCCATCAAGAGGACGAATTCTCTGAGCATAAGCAATCATTTCCCTACACGAGTCATCCTCAATTTGTGGTCTACAAGGACATTTAATCTGAATGGTGGTCCATTCCCAATAKCCTCTTTTCCTGGAGACCACCTGGTAGGTGCTCCAGGTTAGAGAATGGTGCAAAACACACTTTATCATCAATGGCTGGGCTATGTTAAAKTGGTTCTGGATTGTTTTGGGCCATGCTTCTCATTATCTAGTTAAATAAAACCTTTTCCTTTCCCATGTGTACCATTTCTCATTAGCTTGTAATGGAAGATATCACATGCTTTCAATTTTTTTTCATATTTCCCGATTACAATTTAAATCCCCAAGATTTACAGCTTAACCACTAGTTACATACTTGTATCAGTGTTGCAGGAAARTGATGGGACCAAACTAGTCTTTCAGGAAAATATTTTATGCCCTCTGGGATTCTGCCAGTACAAGACATTGGAAAGAAAGAGCAGAATGTGATAACCTCCTTGGGATTTGTGTCTCTTCTCATAAAACACAGAAATTGCAGTGTTTGCTCTGTCACTACATCTCTAATTTCTTGGACCCCTACCAATATCATTAAGCAGATAAAACATCTGGAAGAGGCTAYTTGGCAGATATCCTTACCACACTACTAAAATTCCCTTCCTCTGTTCTCACTGTGCCCCAGCTGTTCTGACCAAACTTGCCCACATTTGAGTGCCCTGACAGCACCAAGTGTATTGTGGCTGATGATGCTGCATCCCACACACCAAGGAGCTCCACTGAAACAGAACCACAGTGCTGCCCTGGGTACTGGGCCACCAGCTGCCCATTCTGCTCAACAATTAATATTCTCTGGTGTTTTCCTCTACTTATTGATAAACATCTTCCCAGACAGCTTCTGAATGTGATTTGTACAACAGGGCTGAAAAGTAACAGAAAAAAAAACTCCCTTTGCCATGTGCAGACACGTGATAGTGCCCCACCAGGCACTGCCCTCAGACACCTCTAGGCACCCCAAGGGACGTGACTTGTGTGACTGTGAAAGCATCACGCTGACATGTTGCAGTACAGCCCTCCGACTTTTTGTTCCAAGAATTGTGAACTAGAAAAGAAAACCAGTGATAATAAAAATGTCTTAGACCCCACCATGGGCTAGCCAGGAAAAGTGCTAAATGCAGTGTGGACCTCATAGCGTTTGCCTCCTGGCTGCAGGGTCTAGAAACAGCTCTTGGTGCTGCTTTATTTAATGGTACAAGCACAGACTTCAGTGCCTGCTCACACATCTTAGTTCTACCCAAGTACCCAAGGCACAGTAAGTGTCTGCCTATCTTTCCTTATCTATGGACTCTCTTCTAAGCTGGCTGTATGAAAGGCCTGAATAAGTAAGAATTTCCACAGAACTTTGATCCCATATTAGCACCTTGATCAGCAGATAACATCAAGTCTAACATCACATTTTCCGTGAAGAAAATTCCCAAAGGGACTGAGTAACTGCATAACAAATAAAGCGATGACTTCATGTCTTACTGGAATTAAACCAAGCTGACAGTTAAATATTGGTCATTTTTAGCAAACCATGGTCAACAAGATTTAGAATAAGAAGGATGAATTGCCCTAGTCATGTGGAAAAACAAGAATATTGGGTTGCCAGAATGGAATTTAGGCAGTGGGATAAAAATGTCGCTCTTGCAGTCAGTACCCAACAACTATTAAGGGACAGTAGATCAATTTTGTGCCTTGTTGGAAAGATGTCAAATTCCCCAGCACAACAGAGAATGAGTCCCAGAGCTGACATATAAGGAATGGTGCCATCTCTTGAAACACAAAAAGAAGTATCAGGGACCCATAGCTACATCTTTATGGATCCCTCTCTGTGTTACTATTTGCTCAGCTTAGGTAACACAACAATGCTAAATTATCATTCATTGAAACAACGAGGAGGATGCAAGTCAAAGGAAAATGAAAGATGGGATGTATTCTCTCTGCCAAAATGTGGAAACTAATGAGACACCTGGAAGTTCAAAAATACACAGAAAAAATTACATTGCTTTCTTATGGAATACAGCTTGCGTAGTCAGAACTTTGGTTTTGTCTTCCATTTGCCGCACTATGAAACGCAGTTCCTTGTTTCTGAGTCAAACTATTTAATTTTTTTCCATCTCTGGAAAAAGAAAAAAGGAGGAATGTACTATGCTCATTGTACAACATATATTGTAATGTGTAAGGAGCTCAATTTTCTCAGAGCAACCACTTCAATTCAAATGGCAAGCTGATTCCTTTCTCAGGCTTTCTCACTGAACAATAGTTCCTATTTAAAATGTTCTCTATGTACAAAAATATTCTTTCTTCAAAAATATTCTTCATTGTTAGAACCATAAGGAAAATTATTTAAAAACTCTTGGACTTGGGTTCAGCAGTCCATGGACTTCTGCTGAGCCATCTATTTATAAAGCATGAGACCTACAGAGATTTTTAGGCGCGACAATTTAACCCTGCCACTGGGGTGCCTGCTCATTCTTTCAGTGGTTTCTTTTATTTTGGAGCCTTGTTTTTGTATTATTCCAAACACACCTCTTGATTACTTATACTTGAGGCACTTCACACTTTTCCCAAAGGATGAACTGTCATTTCTGCAGGTGCTGAAATCATGTTTTGTGAACAGGTTGGCAAACAAGCTTTAGCATGAGAACCATTGCTCACATTTCTTCACATTTCTATTTTAAAGTTTTGAACTCTACATTCAGAACCGTGAACTATGCCAATTAACACCCTTGGTGTCATTAAACACTTGGACAGACTTTAGCAAGGCTCAGTGGGGAGACCTCAACATCCAATAGGAACAAAAAGACTTCAAAATTTTCAGCCATACTTGTGTAAATTGTGTAAATTCCATAAACTGGAATTATTCAAAATTTCTGTTTATACAGAATACAACTTAATGACTGCTTGCCATAGAGAGTATATATGATCATATGCCTGTAAAGAATGGCTTCTTATRCACTTTTTGAAACTTAGGAGTTTTGTAGCTTTTGGACATGTGAATTCTGGACCACCTTGCCAGGGTGCCAGGATTCTCCCTTCYCATGCCAGACCCATCAATGCAAAATGTGCTGTTCCCTCTGTGTTTGCATTGGTGTTGCACAACTGGGCAGTGAGGCAGTGCAGGGGGTCAAACCAGGCAGAAAGAGGCAACAGAGAAAACAGAAATAGTTCCCTGTGTGTTTAGCTCCCTGAACTGGGCCACCAGAGACCGTCAAATTCCAGCTGGTGCAGGAGAGGCAGAGAGAYAGGGAAGCTCCAGGGAAACTGCATCTTCCTGTCTGGATGTACCCCATCACCCACGCAGGGTAGGAGCATGGTGTGCTTGTACAAACACATAATGCCYTTTGAGGCAACCATCACTGAGCCTGAGCCAAAAAATACCATCTCAGTAACAGCAGGGCATTATCAGGTGCCAGAAGTCACACCAGAAGTCATGGTAAAGAAAGTGTTTAAGCTAGAACTTCTCAAGCACATTTTTTAGCTCCTTTTTAAATGATTACAGCTCTGTTTTAATGCTAACACTGCATGTTTATCAGCTCTCTTCTTTTATGCATGAATATTAAAAATCATTTGATTTAATGAAAAGATGCAATGTGCTGTGGCTGTATGACAAGGAACCTGCCAGTTCTCCCTCTACTTACTTTGCTGAATGAAAGAACCATATTGGATGTACYGAGTGTATTTTAAAAATGCTAATTGTAAAAATGCTACCTTCTGTCAGACCTTGTGGTGCATTTTTTTCCCTTCTGTTAATCTGGGGAGATTATTTAGCTGTGGGAGAGCTGACCATGTTTCCTCTGGACACCTGGGGTCATAGTTCTTTTCTGCTGAGTTCTTCTGTGCAGCTTTACATTGCTCGGGTTGGGTCTACACTGTCTGACAGTTGTATTCCCCCTTTCCAGTCCAGGCAGATGTATGCCAACTTGGGTCCCAGCGCTATGTGGCTATGTCAGCACGGCACTGAGCCTGCTAAATACACCCTAATTAGCAGCACTGTGCAGCAGAGGCTCATGACTTTTTGGCTGAAGGCTGGCATGCATCCAGCCAGCTGGGAAGGGACATTAGGCTGACAGAGTACAGCATCTGCAAAGCAAGGTCTGTGTCCTGCATCTCAGGCACAGGGAGGTCAGTCAAATCGTGAAGACTGCAAAGGGTGGAAATAGCACAGAAAGAGGYGCTGTGAATACCTACAAAGCAGATACTCCATTTGGTAGAACTGGGCTACTTTCCCCTTCTAGCCACTGCTCATTGGGAGGCCAGGCCCTCCTGTGAGGGCTGGCAAAGGACCCTCTCACTCATGCTCCTACTCTTATTTTAAAGCCTTTGCCTTCACAGTAAATTTTTGCGGACTCATGCTTCAAGACAAAAACCTCTCCGTGGGGACTTCCCCAATTATTTCATTCATATTTGYTGGCCAGGATGTGAGGAATCAGCTGAGACACACAGGCAGTGCTAAATTAATTTCCCTGCTGTCTCTCTAATCGGACATCCCCCCTGCAATCAATTCATGTTTGAGACTTGTCTGAGTGAGAAGTAAGTAACATAATATTTTAGAGGTAAAATAACTTCAGACTGTCACTGTAGGACAGCTGATCCAGAAACCTTTTCTATCTAGTGAGAGAAAAGTGTCTGTCCCCGTTCCTGAGCYTGCTGCTATCCTGGCGCTGCCCCAGCCTGGTCCCTGCTCATGCCCTCGCCCCGGGGCTGAGGAAGGAGGAATCTGCCTCTCTCGCAGCCCCGAGCCCCTGACCGACGCCCGGCTCTGAAGCCCAGCRGAATCTCCATCGCGCGAATCCCCGGCAGGAGAGCGCTCCCGGTGTCCGGAGAGGGGCTGGGGCCGCGGGGTCCCGCCCTCCCTCCACCCGCTCCGGGGCCGGGGACGGACGCACCTACCCGGGCACGCCTGGCCGTGGTCGTGGCAGCAGTCCCCGGCTCGCCGGCAGCCTCCGTCGCAGTAGCAGGTCCCGTAGCCACCTCCCTCCCTCCATCCCTCGCCGACGCAGGCGGCATCCCGGCCCTGGCAGCACTTTCCCTGGCAGCTGCCCCCGACCCCGCTCCCGGCCCACAGCAGCCCCAGCCACAGCGCTCCCGACAGCGCCGTGCCGCCCATCACCGCCACACCGGCCACGGCCACCGCCACCGCCACGCCGGCCACCGCCGC